TTGTGCAGACCACTCTTCATATATTTTGCTTTCTGTGCTTTCTGCTGTCGCGCTCACCTTGTTCAAATATGAGTTATTTGAGAGTAGTATGACTGAGCCGTGGTCTTGCAAACCTCGAGAATATCCGTCCATGAAATGTTGTAACAAAATTACTGCCACTTGCGTCATGATGCCAGCAATTTGAAAATAAGTAATATTGCTAACACTGGTATCAGCATTGTAAGGTTCGGTAGCCATTTGATGGATCGAGTCAAGGTAAGAACTGATCAAAACGTTATTTTCTGACGAATCAAGAGGACCTTTCAACGAAAAAAACAATGATGCAGCCTTTTGAGGAATGAAAGGTCCCTCAGTGATATTTGTGTATATTTGCTTTGCAACAAAAACAGTACCATCCGTGTTTTTTTTTATTACCGGCCAGAAAATAACCTTGTCGAAAACTAAAACACACAAATTAAGCGAAATTAGGTTCCAGTTACTAATTGCAGATTTTAGGTAGTAGAACACGCTTTCAAAAAGTTGCGATTTTTGCGATGCTCTATTTTTATCAATTAAAATTACACAAGAAAAAGAAATCGGCAGTATGTTCAAAGCTAATAAGTCGTTGGGCTGATTCAACGGTGAATTAGCTACAGTTTGCTTAACAACTTCTGCCAAGATATTTTTTTTTTGTTTTTTAGATGCGTCGGTTCTAAGTAGCGGGTTAGAAACATAGTCTAATGTTCCGAAGATAAGTTCTGGTCTAAATTTATAGTTGTTAATTGTAGACAAAATTTCAGGTGAAAAATGTTTGATCTCGATGTTTTGCCGAAAATAATTGTTGTTTGCAACTAAACTCTGATGTTTTCGCATCAATTCGAAATACCAACTTGGAATGGGCATCGATTTTTGGCAAATGTTGCAGTTAACAGACGTTGAACTAAACATAGAATACAAATTCAAAATACAACCACACTTGTTACATTGAACATAGTATTCATTTTTCACGTCGAACAGCGACTGAAAGTTCAAAATCTCTGTGTTCCGAGACGGTCCATTTACTAACCAATTGTAGTCGATATAAGGGACTTTCAGTTCAAACTCGTTCGTAAGTGGAAACGGCGTTAAAACGAAACATAATGGTAGATTCAAAGCAGAAAACAATACGTTATCTTTAGGAAACGTGTTAATAGTAGATCTGAAATAGCGATAGGTAGAAAAACTAGATTCGATGTAAGTAACGTATGAACGAGCTGAAGCGAGATTGTTTACTATTTTTGGGCCTCCTTGCTCTGTTAGTTGCACATTTAACGCGTGATGAAACGGTCTGGGAATTTTATTAATATCAACACGAGTCTCTGTATCTTTTATTAAAGTATTAAACTTTGGCTGTTCTAAAACATTACTTGTCATGTAGTTTTTGATTCGTACTTAATGCCATACAATTCAAATAATCAATCTTTCAGACTAAATTATGAAGAAAAAAATATTACTGGCTGTATAAACAATATTCCAAAAAATAATAATAAAATAGTTGTTGAAAAATATCTGGTTAAATCTGTTATAACAGATCAATAGGCTCGATCCAGAAGTCAACTGTGTGTCTGAACCTACAGCTCGGGTTCGCTGATGCCATCAGCAGCAGTTGTCCAGTTGGAAAGCGCTTTTCTACGGTTTTCGTTTGAAATAATTAGAGACTGAAGACTGCCTTTGTCTAAGTGAGGCATATGTATTACAGCATTTTTGTAAAAATTGATCACGTGGTGAATTTTGTCAATCACTTCCGTAGTGAAATCTATAGTGTTTTTCGAGTTGTCGATGCTTCTTGATCTGAACACTTGTTGTTCCAGATCTAATTCTCCAGCTATAACCTTGTTGAAAATGGCCTGCATAAGAATGCTGATGGTGTCGTTTAAGTCTTTAATACCAATGATTTGCATGATTTCCGTGAAGTGGATCTGGTAGTAGGCTTCGTTAATTTGAATCAGACTTCGATTTAACACAAAATTATATAATCGCTTCAAAACGCCAAGTAACCCGTCTTTCAAATAGTGATCTGTATTTTTAGCAAAAACAGCTTGATACTCTTTGAGGTCTCCTTTGAATACCGCTTTTGTAAGTTCGTAGTACGGGAACAGAGCTTGGCTGAACTTCGTGTTGGTAAATACTGATAAAGGAGATATGTACGAGAAAAGGAGTTGCGTCACGATTTCGTGCTTGGTCACGCGCAGCACAAAAGCGTCGTTTGTAGAAAAGTCTTTGAGCTTGACTAAGATGTCTTGAAAATTGTTTAGAGCGTCTTTGTAGTGTCCTAGAATCAATTTTATTCGGCCGTTGTTAAATAAATTTCTACACTGGTGTTCGATGGAAAGCCGGTTTTTCGGAAACATAGAAACGTCAATAAACCGCAAGGCTGCTGCAACGTCGCGCAGCTCGAGATAACAAAACAATACATAATTAATTATACTAGCTACACAGTAATCTGACTCAGTTGCGCGACGAGAACGGTAATGCGCAATCAACAGTTCAGGTATTTTTTTTAATTCATCGTTGCACTGATAATATCGAAACATGATAAAGAAAAGTTTTTCGTCTAAACGGTCGAAATGCGCTATGGGGTTAAGCAAAATCTCGTTGACGTAGTTGCAATAAATCGGTCCGTAACGCTTTGCAAACTTGATGTGCTCATTACTTATCTCAGGATCATAATAGTTCCATGCGTTAATTAAAAAGTATCCAATCAAAACTAAGAGAAATCGTTTAATTAAAATTGAATCTGAGTTATTTAACAAGTCTGCAATTGTCTGCAACGTATACTTAGACAATTTCTGCGATATAATTGCAGTATTCGTAGTTGCTGAAGTATTGTTTGTGTTTTTTTTCTCTGAATTGGGAGTTCTTTCTTTTTTATCTTCGCCAGCGTAGTTATACTCGGAAGACAGTGCATCATATTTTTGCTCAATGTCAGATTTCAAATTGTTGATTTCTTCCTTGCTAAACGTGATGGACTTAACGTTTTCACCATCAAGCGACGCTAACTGCAAATCTTTGTAGCAGCGAGCAGCCACTTTCAACTTTTTGTATTCACACAACATTTCGTAAATTTGAGTATTTTCAAACTGACTGATGATTTCCTCAAACAACGCGAAGTCAAAAAACTTTCTGCATCTAGCCAAAACTCTGCAGCAACGTGCAGTTTCGTGTTCTAGAGAAGGTCCTTTTTCGCACCGTAATAATCCATCGATACAAAAGCCCAAATGGGCCACAAAGATGTTGCTTTTTGAGCTTGTAGTTGAATTGTTAATCACGCTAACCATTAATATTCTTTGCTGTGGAGTCTTTTCTATTATAAGTTTAGTTTGTCAATTAAATCATCTGAACAGGTATAAAGGCTATTATAGCACCTTGAACCGCAAATATATTTTATAATTATATTAGCCAAATATTTTTCGGAATTCGATCTTATTAAATTATTAATAATTAAATGCATTTTCACTTTCGGCCGCAATCAAAATCCGACTTAATCCAGTGAAAATTCGCACAGCCACCCCAGAATTATGTCGAAGCTCATTGCCGAATTCAAAGATAATCAGTCTCCAGAGTACGAACTCTTCCAATTTTCTCACTACATTACTGTGGGAAAGGAACCTAACCTTTACAGGAAAATGCTGTTGGACAAAATAAAAGCTGGGAACAACTTGAATTTTTACTTTCAAAATAAGCAAAAACTCAATTTGGTAATCAATACGGCAGATATCGAGAGTATGGAAACTGCAAACAAAGAAAAACTAGCTGAGTTTGAGAAGGCTTTCAACGACGCTAACTCGCACGGGGGCGAATCAGACATCAAGGATTTGCGCATCGCGAAAGCCAAATTTTACGCAAAAATCGGCAACTTTGAAGAAAGCATTAAACTATTCAATGAAGTCCAGGAAATGAAACACGTAGACGCATGTACCCGAACAAATATCTACATAACCATCATTCGCATTCACATGTTTTCAAACAACGTGACCGAGGCGTTTAAAATGCTGGAGAACGCCAAGAACATGTATATGAAAAGTTCAGACTGGGAAAACAAAAACCGCCTGCAAGTGTACGAAGGAATAATACTGGCCTCCTACAACAAGAATTATACTGCTGCTTCAGAACTTCTGTTAAAGTCGATCACTACATTCAACGCGCAAGAACTGATTTCGTTTAACGACTATTGCAGCATTACGATCTGGATTGCCATGTTGACCCAGACGCGAAAAGACCTAATGAAAACAATCAAACATTCTGTAAACATTGCGAAACTCAAGAACGAGGTGAACGAAGTCTGGAATTTTGCCAACAACTTTTTAGAATGCAATTACAACAAATTTTACGAACTATTAATTATCAACTCAAAAATTATCGAAGAGAACTATTTTGTGCATCAGCATTACTGGCATTTTGTTAAAGAGTTTAGAAAGTCCGCTTATCAACAGTATTTACGTCCGTATAAAACCGTCAATATCAAAGCTATGGCGAACGCTTTCTCGATAACAGAAAGCTTTATAACGGAAGAACTTATCAAGTTCATCACAAACAGCCACTTGCCCTACTGGATTGACAAGCCAAACAAACTTATTATTTCTAAGCAATTCAACACCTTTTCAACTGCGAAAAACGAGTTTTTAAAGACAGCTGATTACCTAGTGGATCGCCTACAATATTTATCGAAAGGAATAGATTTGTAATTTCGATTTAATAATCAACGATTTTTGTTAGATAAATTCAAACAGTCAAATCGAATAATTATGATTTCTAAACGGCAGCCACAGAGTCTTTTCCAGAAGCGAAAAGAGTTAATTAAAACTGCAAATAAAAATTTACCTTTCCTAAGTAAGTCATCATTTTTTTTTAGTCTCAATGAGAAACGTGCAGGGTCCATCACATTCAAGCTTGATGCGCGAATAACACTGGAAAACGCCTCTCTTGATTTTCTCAGGAGAATACATGGCCATTAATTTTTCAACCAATGCCGAAGTTAAAACCCTGGCTTGTTCGGGATCTAGCGCTAAACACAAGCTGGGTTTAGTTCCCTTTTTCAAACTCGATGGTAATGTGAAATTTGTCGCAATAAGAATTTCAAGACCGCGTTCCTTGACAGATTTTTTCCAGCGGTGGCTCGAATCGTCGGGAAAACCTAGTTCAGAGTCGTTGAAAAATTTACAGTTTAGAATCTTTTTCGCAACATAGTCTACGTCTTCCATTGTATCTCCCTGTTCAGCACCGACGAGTACATAAATTCCATTACCGATTTTAGAAACTAACTCGTTTTTGCTTATAAATTCAGCGCTTATTACTCGTTGTATAACTATCTTCATTTAGTATTTATTAAATATTTTGAAATAAAAATAATTCAGATATTCGAACATTCAATTTGATAAAAGCTCCAGAGAACTATTAAATCGCGATTAAAGAACCTGAATCTGGTACAAAGCTTTGTTGTTAATTACGCTAAATATATATCGGTTCTTGCTCGCAGTTAAAGCAAGTTTGTTGCCATAAATCAGACAAACTTGATGATAAATCCCGCAAAACGTTAAGCGCTGAAAATTCCAACTAATAGTATAATACGAAAACGCATACAACGACTACTTGAATATTTGCTAACACCACATAGTGATAAAATTACATTTTACTGTTTCAATCATACATACGATTTAGCAAAAAGATGTTACAATCAAAACTTACTTTTACAGTTGAAAAATTTTAGAATCAATTCACTAATTGCTCAATTGACATTTTAGATCTTCTTACTATTTGACCATATGAGGTTGTTACAGTACTGAAGCGGTTAGCATTAGAGTGATAATATCATGTTTAATCATTTACTCGTTTTAACACAACACCTAAAAAAGATGGAAAGTAATTTATTTGCGTCCAAGAGAACGGACTGATGAATTAAAAAACTACAGTGTTAATTTTATTTATTTATATTATTTTTAAGAAACATCCAAACCAATAACACAACGGCCAACCTGCACCGTTATATGATTGTTCGAATTCAATATGATGGGTCGTCGTAAAGCGATTAATGTTCCAAACTTGCTCTCGTGATCTGATATCAAGAATTCCCCATCAGAGTATTTGATGGTAGCATGCCAACGCGATATTGATACATGGCCTATACGTATATTGCTTTCGTGGCCTCGTCCAAGTTTGCACTCATTGTTAACTGCCAAGCTACAAACGTGCAAACCTCTATTGGTCACACCAAAATTTTCCAAAACAATATACGGCGCTTTAAAGCGTGGGATTTCCAGTATAGGACTTCTTTTTCCATTGATAATAGCGTAGGTAGGGAAGATTGCATGACAAAGTTCACAATTTATGGGCTTGTAGACAAAGTAATACTGTTGGTTTTCTTTATCGTCAATCGTTAATTTATAAGATATCCAGTTGCGTAAACACAAAAAGTGAATGAATTGAATACTGCCTTTACATTCGCAGACTTCAATTAAAGGATTTGCAGGGTCTGAATATCCAAACAAACAGAATCTGCAGTGAACTTTGTCATCGTATTTTAAGTCATCCGTAGTTATCATTGGGACTTCGTTTTTGACAAACAACGAAGAAAGAACAAAAAATAGCTGTGATAATAACGCGTCGCCCTCGCGCTTTTGGTCTTCTTCAGTTACTAACATACGTACACGAAGTTTATATCTCCCTAATTTTAATATGTCACTTTCTCTCAAAGTATAAACTCCTCTACTTAATGCCTTTACCACGAGCCACATTCCTTTCTGTGGGTAATATGTAGATATAGGAATGTTCAAACAAGACGGAAAAATGTAATAATGATTGCCTTTTACCTTCACGTTTAGTAGCAAATCTGTATTTTCTTGAAAATCAACTGAGTTAGAATCCACGGGAACAACTTCCATACCGTGGCGAATCAATCTGCACGGTCCGTTTATAATGTGGGAGCCAATATGGATATCTGTACTTTCGTAATCAAACAACTCGTGAGAATCACGACTCCATGTTCGATAATTTATTGTTAATAACAGTTGTCGATTGATCTCAAGCTGAGATTCACTTATTTGTTGCATAGTCAAGTGATCTCGATAAATATAATCATGTTTTGTATTTAACATTATTTCAATATATTTTTTCGTAAAGAAATAATAGCCTAGGTTTTCTATTTTTTTCTTATTTTAGAATAGTCGCGTGAACTAGCTCAATTCCAACCAGATCAACTTAGTGTACAAGTCGGATGGATTATATGATTTAAATTATCGTTTAGCTGTGTGAATTGACAATTTTACAGTAAGCAACTTGTTGCATCAATTATTTTTTACTTTCAATTCTGATTTACAATTTGTCAATTAATTTGAATTTATTATCATTAATATTCACCTAAAACGGTCTATATATTATTAATTCAGCAAATGTGTAATCAAAAATAAAAAAATATATATACGTGATCAACTTTACTCACACTCCATTCTGAAACGAATTTCTTACGAATTTTATTGCACTGGAACCACACTTCCCGCAAGTCTTTTTTTCTGAGGTATTGAGCTTTTCATTACATATCCTACAAAAATAGAAATGCATTATAACTTACTCGCAGAACACATTCCAAACATTTAATTTCGTTAGATTCGATTTGCGAAATCCTGTAAATTTAATCCCTAACAAAAGACACACATTTTGTATTGCAAAGTCGCCAGTCAGAACTATCAGCTCGTAATCTAGCTTAGGTGACGGTGGTAGTTCAGGCTTTTTTCCGAATCTTACGTAATTAATGCAATCTGCTGGACCTCTAATAGGGATGCCATGCTTAAGACATAAATCAATTGCCACAGCACAAACATCTAAATCAGTGGAACTGAGTTTGAAAATATCTCTCGTCATAGAAGCAGCATTTCTAGTTATCAGTTTCGCATTCTTGTTTGGCTCGATGGACGTAATAAAATCACTATATTTTTCCAAATGCTCCTTGGAATTTCGACATTTCAACTCGTTTAGTACAGATTCTGGACAGTAAAAATAATTATCAGGATGCAAAAGATTCACATTTCTCAAAAGCAACCCAGTGTCTATAACGTATAACTTATTAACCATACATTTCAACGTGCCGCGCTGTCAATACAAAATTAAATTAAATTAAAAATTAATTAAAAGAAATTTCGCTGCCAATCAAATAGTTGGTTTATGTTCTTGTTAGATAGGAACTAAAATATTATACAAAATTAAACGGTAGTTTATAAAAATGAATAATAAATGGATATACTTTGTCAGTTCAATCTTATGTACTGTGGTATCTAGACCAATCGTAAATAACACGTATACAATAATATTTTCAAATGACAGCACATTCACAAAGAACGAAAGTACCAGCAACAAAGACGGATTACATAAATCTATTGTCGATAAAATTATCAAACTCTGCGTTGAGAACACGAGCAAAATTCAAACGCTGAATGAGGACGATATAAATCAAAAATTTAATGTTGAGTATTTACCAAGCTTGAACATGGCTGTACTTACGATTCCAAATGATTACAATTTTTCAAAATTAACTGATTTGGCAAAAAACATAGACGGAATAGAAGTAATCAGTAACGACGAAATCTTAGAACTTCAGCCTCGTATGCCCTCGCAAGAAGAATTCATACGTAATAGTATCGAACTTCCAGAAAAACATTTTGACTACGATCTCCCAGCAACGGTAAGTTAATTACTGCCCATATGCAATAGACCAGTAAACATGAAATAATAGATGAGAAAAGATCTGCGAGCCAATACGTCGAAACAACACCGCTGTTTAATCCATTTAATCCGATTTTTTCACACTTGGACAAAAGAAAAGACATGCAGTGGAACTTGAATGCAGCGTACGACCACGGGTTGCGAAGCGAAGTGGTTTTCAACCCTCAGTATAGAAATTTGCTAGGATTTAAATTACCTAAAATAGTAGACAGGCCAATAATAGCTATTATTGACAATGGTTGCGATGTGTTTAACCCAGTAATCAAAAAGTCTTTTTGGAATAATAAAAATGAAACTGATTGTTACGATTTGATCGATAACGACGGTAACGGAAAAATAGACGATTGTTTAGGTTGGAATTTCATTGATAACAATAATGATCTCGGTGGAAAACTGACGCATGGTTCTCCACTGGCCGGCATTATGGTGGGCAGGTGTAAGAACCCTATATTCAGATCAATTTGCCCTCATTGCCATGCAATGTGTTTAAAGTTTATCAGTGAGGACAAAGGAGTTGTTAGTAATCAATTGAAAGCTTTAAACTACGCTATAAGAAACGGCGCAAAGATAAGCAATCACAGCTACGGCAGTTACGAGCTGACTCCTAATCAAACTGAATACCGAGCATTCAAAGCCACGCAAGATTTTGATCATTTAATCATCACTTCTGCAGGAAACAAAGGAATTGATTTGTCAAATTCAAAAAAACAGCATTATCCATCTGGGTTCAATTTACCAAATATGATATCGGTCGGAGCGTCCAACATTCATGGAAGAAGAAGTTTCTTTTCAAACTACGGAAAAGATCACGTGTCTGTGTTTGCCCCAGGTGAGAACATATATTCCATTTCTTCTAATGGTTATACGAACTACTCAGGCACATCTTTTGCCGCGCCACATATTGCGGGTTTGGCTGGACTAATTTGGTCTATATACCCTCAACTGACAAATTTAGAGGTAAAAGAAGCTATTCTTTCTTCTTGCAAAATGACATCCAATTTAAAAGATAGTTGTGCTTGTAGAGGGGTAGCTGACACAGTTAATGCTTTAAAATATGCAAATAGTCTTTACGAAAAAAAATTCGCTTCGCTAAACAATTCGACAAAGAACCAAAACAAATTTAATGATCCTGCAAGCAGTTTTCTTCCTAAGAAGGATAGACAAAAAACTAGCACTTGGAACACAAAAGCTTTGTCTTACAGCTCGTTGAACAATAAGGCTGATCATAACTCTTACGACACTAATCGAATTGAAAATTTTAAAGCAAACATCGTGCAAGAATTGACTCTATTGTCTTCTCAATATTTATAAGTTCTACTAAACAACTTACTCATTCAAACATTTGCGCGATATTTGCAAGCGGAATGTCATATAAATTTATCCGCGGGAAATATGTCGGGTATCCTGGAGGAATTTCAGCATGAGTTTTTACCGGATTTATGAAATTATTTGCAGTAGGATAAAAATAGCTTACTCGAAGATGCTGAGGCGGTTTTCTTATCGCTGGAACAGGAGGAGTTTTTCCTCCGTGGCGTTTACTTCGTCCTAAATAGGGAAAAAACGGTTCGCAACTCGCAAGCTTAAACAAGAGAGCGTATCGAATTAACTTCAATTTCATAACTTATATGAAAATGTAACGAACATGTTTGCAAAAAATCTAATTGATAAAAGCACATTTCACAACGATTCCAATGTCTAAATAGTCGTCCAGATTTATTTTTCCTTGCTTCTTCTCTTCATAGAGGCAGTATTCACAGAATAAAATTATTTGATCAAAAGACATTTTAAAAATAGTTCCGGTTTTCATTAGGTACTCAGCTAGAACAGATACTTTTATTTTATCGTCTTTGGTGGCAAGCAACTTTAAAGCTTTGTAAAATTTCCCCTTCAGAATATGATTGTGATAATACTTTGCGCACAGATGCATTACGTCTTTTTCGTTAAATCCGCCTCTCGTCTCAAATTCTGAGAGAAGCAACTCAGCTTCGTGCCTGGACAGTTTCATTCCGATATTTTTCAAAAGATATTCCACTTCCCAAGCAGTCAATAAATTGTTTTGCTGCAACAGTTTGATTTGTCGCTTGTTGACGCTATTTTTCAAATTTCGAGCTTGCCGAACAATCGCGTAAGCTAGAAGCAAATCTTTTCTCTAAAAGCTAATAAGTGGTAGTAACATACCCTAGCGAGTGAAAAAACTTGTCCAATATCCATCAATAAACGATTAATCAAGAAGCAGATTTATTTCGATCTAAATTAATTTGTTTTTGGTTTTTTTAGTTGAGAATTTTCAAATGGCAAATAACACTTAACAAGCTTGAAATTAAAGCTGCGGGTCATCTAATGAGCAAGCACACAACGAGTGACAATGTCTTGCTTTTAGACTACGTGAAACCAGCTGAAACTCAGCCTGGAAAGATAATCGCAAAACTATCCGATTTTTTCAAAATCGTCAACAAAAACGAAAACAGCGCCCAGTCGCAAATTTCTGATTCGATCTACAACAAAATCTCATACATTTACCCTTTAAATGAATATAGCGGATTTTTGATCGGTTTATTCAACCATCTCAAACGAGATCGAGCGACTCGAGGAATTGAATTTATAGTTTCTTGTGAAAAGTTCGCCAAAATTCTCGAGAAAAAATTTATTGTTTCACGCGCAAGACCTAGTCACGAAAAATTTAATAATGAACCAAATAATCTCAGTCAGTGTTTCGTTTTCAAAGATTTGAAGAAAGACATTTTTACTTACTCGCTTGTAAAACTAAACGGGCAACTTAAATCCAGCAGCACCCATATCGACGTTTACGCATTTAAAACAATGAGTTATATGTTATCGAGACTCAATTCACTAAGCAGTGATATAAAAGGAAACGTTGATTTGTTATCGGATCTACTAGCGCTGTGCCTACAAAGACCAAATAACTATTTTGCAAGAAACGGCCAATCCAATAAAGATCGAAACTTGAATTTTTGCACTTCTATTGTCCTTAAACATGATAAATATGTTTTCATTCCGTGCAATCTAGAAATGCCGTGTTTTTTGTTTTGTGGCTTAAAAGACGAAAGCTTTGTTACTTTTTGCATAAATAATATCGTTAAGAACAACGATGGATTGTCTAAAACAGCTTCTGACTCGCAGTTGACCACAGAGCAATATCCATTCACTTTTCAAATAATCGAAATTCGGGATGGAAACTATATCAAAATCGATATTGGGTGTCTTTTAAAGTGTTATATTTTACAAGCTTCGCACAAAATTTTCTGGAAGTATTATACCCCAGAAAATCTAATAAACAAATTGATGGCTACGGCTGAGTCAAAACCTTCTGAGTTGGACTCAGTTCTCAGCATCGTTAAAAGAATTGCTTTTGTAAACGACGATAACGACCTCACAATGGCAGATTTAATAGTTTGCGTTGCTAACTTAAAGAACTGATAATCAATGTAATTCGTATAAAAACTTTTTCTTAAGCTGCCACCTAACAGGTATCGAATCGATCTTGTCACAGATAATCAAAAGAAACTTTTTAAACATGATTTTTTTTTCAGGAGTATTGAACTTGTCGCTAAACATTTTTATCAATTCACCAGTAGTGAATTTTTTCAGTGTGTTGCGTAATATATATATAATGTTTAACAAGATTTCAAAATCTTTTTTGTCCGAAGAAACTTCGGACAAGACTTCATCTATAAAGTCTCGCTTTTCTACAACTTCCATTCCAGCATCACCATGCTTACCAGTCCAAACAAGTTCATTGTCTTTTTTAGCTTGACAGGCACGTTGACTTAAAGCAAATGAGCGAAATTCCGAATTGACACTTGTCTCTAACTTTTGTTTAATAGTATTATTGATGGCCTGATATTCCTTCTGAGATACCAAAGAACCCGTGGCTTTAAACAGATTACTCACAGCTGCTTGCTTGTCAGTATAAGCATCATTGTAATCAACATCGCTGCATTCATCTTCATTTATACGATTCAAATTACTTATAAGATCTGCGAAATCAGAAGAAGATTCTTTATCTTTAGCTAAGTTTGAATTTTGGAAAATCTTGTCAATGATAATATTAAAATCAAATTCTGATAAAACTTGAGGTATTTCCGAATGTTCTGTGAACACAGTACTCGGATCACTAATAGGGTCGTTAAAAGAAATTTTATTCTTGAGAGCAGTTAGTAAAAGACGATATGCTATTGAGTTAAAATCTAGCATCGAACTGGGATCTATTGGATTTGGATATTCTAAAAGGTCAGTTAAATCTCTTTTAGACAACTGAATAACTCCTTCGTCAAAGACTGCGTTCGCAATAGATAATTTTTGTTTTTGTATGCGATACATGTATTGTTCGAAAGGAGTTGCACTTATAAGTCGGTAAATTTCTACGTTACAAGATTGGCCAATTCTATAGCAACGGTTCAAAGCTTGAGAATCATTTGCTGGATTCCAGTCAGGATCAAAAATAATCACTCTGGACGCAGAACACAAATTTATACCGACACCCCCAATTTTTGTACTCATAAGAAAAACGCGGATATCTGAATTTGTATTGAAGTTATCGATCATACTTGTTCTTTTCTGGTACGAAGTAACACTGCCATCTAATTTTAAATATTTGTAAGACGAACTTATATAATTCTCAATGAAATTCAAATATTTGATGCGCTGAGAAAAAATAACAACTTTTTGTCCTTCCAATTCGAACTTTTTTAAAAGTTGAAGCACTACTTTTAATTTACCACTACGTTCATAATCACCATACGTCAAGTTATTTTTGTGTATTCTATACTCAAATTCTTCTAAGTTCTCAAACAAGGCATCAGGATGGTTTGACAAAATACTAAGAATGTTAAAATATTTTAATGAATGGTTTTTAGTATCTTTCTGAACGGAATTTAAAGCTGTAATATTTTTGAGAAACTGTGGACCATATTCCTTTAGAAAATTAATATATAATTTGTACTGAATGGCAGTAATAGGACACAAACACATTAATTCAGCACATTGAATGTTATTAAGTATTTTACTATCGGTTTTAGTGCGTCTTAAAATATGGGCAGTTAGTAGTCCTCTTAATAAAGTTAAACATTTTTTAGCGAACAACTTTTTATCAAGAGGCATCCCTTTTGTAAATCCGTCTTCAATAGGAGATATGAAGGCCATTTGAAACGCGGGCAAAGAACCAAGAAGACCAGGGTTAATGAAATCTATCAAGCTCCATAACTCTCTGAAACTATTTTGGAACGGCGTCCCAGTTAGAATGAGTTTAAACTTTGACTTAATTCGTTTGATTGCAAGAGTAGTTAAACCGTTGGGATTTTTTATTTTTTGTCCTTCATCGAGAATTACCATTTCAAACTGAATATCATGCAAAATATGATAGTTCATGCGACAACAATCATAACTTACTACATGTATACCGAGCTCTTTGATGTTTTGAGTTAAACTGCTAGTGCTTTTATGAATTTTTATGTGTATCAACGGATAAAACTTCAAAAATTCAGCTTCTAACTGATACAGCAGTGTAGTACATGTTATAATCAAAACACGTTTCGAAAAAACAGAATCACTATATTCAAGCATTGAATCAACGATTTTATTTTTGTCTTTGAAGTTTTTTTTTAACAAGTCGTCCAAATAATTAGTCAAAGAACACGACCCTGGTTGCAAATATGTTTTATTCTCAATTAAAACTGATAAAAAAGCAATTACTTGGATAGTTTTACCAAGTCCCATGTCATCTGCTAAAATACAACTAATGCCTAATTCATAATTTTGTAATAACCACTGTAGACCTTCTTTTTGATAAGGTTTTAGTACGTTCAAAAAAAAAAGTGGAATCAAGTATCCTTCAAACTCCACTAGTCTGAGCGAAGGTTTAATTTTCAAAAATTGTTCATAAAATAGGTTCGTATTTAATGTAACTTGCATTCAAAACATCGAGTTTCATGCTATTGAAAAATATAGATTTTCAATATTTGTTTAGTAATTTCAATCAATAATTGTGTTAGACAACTACAATTTTTTTTTTTTTGGCTTTAATACAGACAAAGGGTTTGGATTTTTCGCTCTTCTTTTTTTTACTTTGATTAAGTTATCGTTCTCTTCTCCACTAAGAATTTTATTGTCTTTTTTCTGTATATTATTTTCAACTTTCGCACGAGTAATTTCTGGAATTTTGCTGAAACGCAATGCTGTATTTTGGAAAAATAAAACGGGCGTGTATTTCAACGTCGATATCCTAAAACAAATACTTTTATCATTCAAAATAAAGATGTGTTTTTTTGGATTACCATGACTTGCATGAAACTTTATACATTTATATTCATCTATTTTGTTTTCGTCTTTTGTGTGTGTACATTCTAATTTTTTTACACCAAGATTATTAAGAAAAGTTGTATCAGATTTTTTCCAGCTGCAATCGTACATTGACAATGAAAAAGGTCTATTACCTAATACTTCTATAATTACGTTTTTAATATTCAATTTGTGGCTGATTAAATATTTAACAGCCAGAGAATCTAAAACTAAAGACAAAGGGGGAGTGAAATCTAGTGAGAATTCATAAAACTTCAAAATTTTTTTGTTGTGAATACGTCGAGACGACATAGATAATGTTTACTTTAAATATTGCCAGCTATTTATAGAAATCAGAAAGATTTTTTACGAAAAAATAAATATATTTGAAATTTTGTGGTTTTTGGTCAATTACGTTTTACATGCCTAGAATAAACTTAAATATAATCTATGATTTCGGGCAAGACTTGCAAACTTTTTTATTGTTGCAATATTTTGATAAAAAGTAGCATTCGTAAGAACAAACATGAGAATTTCTAAACTGGAAAGGACCTGGAATTAACATGTTATCAATATTAATAGATTTGTCTATTTTATTGAGTATTACAGTTCCAAAGCTCTCTTCATCAAAAATATTATTTTGCATATGCAAATGTTTTGATTCTATTAATTTTACGTTTGCATCATTATCTGCAACATAATAATCTCTAATAACGTTTTTTTTGTCAACTTCATCATCATTCTCATTATAAATATTAGGTACGTCATATTTTTCTCCATTGCTATATTTGCAACGGGGAATCCCATTACCATTCGTACAAGGAAATTTAGATACTACATCATATTCATAGATGTAAAATCGTTTTGTAAGTATATTTTTACTCGAGTTAAATAACTCGTTCGCATTTTTGTCAAACACATTCGGTGAGCCAAATGTCACAACATGAATTTTAGCGTTTTGCATCATTTTAGATAGGTCCAAAGCTGCTACTTTAGAAACGGCTCCTCCTAATGAATGGCCAGTAAATATGATTTCGTATTCATTACACTTGAAGTTTACGTTGTCTTTAACATTGTTTTTTTTTCCATATTTTCCTATATTAGGTTTCAACGTATCTAAAGTGGTTTTTATAAAAGACGCAAGTCGACTTCCAATAACGTAATATCCACTATGCACTTTACCAGTATATAATTCAGCCTTTATCATGAGCGTGTGGAAGTTGATCATCCATTCGTTTTGTACGGATGTACCTCTCGTTACAACAACAAATTTGCATTGGTTTCGCTCAGATCTAAAAACAGTACTCAAAGGAGTCTCAGTAATTGCTTTCTGTTTTAAATGATCATCTTCGTACAGATGAGTCAGATTAAAAACAGATACAGGTTTATATCCTGTTAGTATATGGGATTTAGCTATGTCATCTATGTCTTTGGTACATTCATATTTATAATAGACATAGTTTGCCCATAGGCTAGTTGCTAAAAACAATCGGGCATCTACCAATTGATTATATTCTTCTTTATGAGTATTAACATTGATTATAGATGGCACATGACAGGTGTTTGTTTCGAGCAGATTGCTTGCGATTTCATTATATTTTTCAATGTTACAAGTTGATGTTTTAGTAGCTCTACATTTCGTGAAATGACGTAACAAATCCAAGCTAAAACAACTATGCATTGGAGTTGCAGAATCTATTTCACAAATTGTACTAGTCAAATTTAACAACGGAGATTTTGCAGTAAATATAACTTCGTCTGCCTCAATTGTTAACCTAGGTTTTTCCATTAATACCTTCAAAACGTTATTTATATAAGCTGAATTCAAAAGTTTTTGAATGACTCTATCATATTTTGTCAATTCTGCCAACGAAAGTTTAGGTTTATCTGATAAATATTCATCATTTTTTGTTTTTATATTTTCCTTCTTCAAAAATGCGTCATTACCTATAGCATTCAGAAACGAAATAATTGTGGATTGCAATATTAGCGATTTTTCGCTTTCGTTTAAATTTCTTTCATTGTTTTTTTTAGAATTCAAAGGGTCACTCAAATCGGCGGAATAATATGACATTGTTCGATGATCCAGAAATTTTGATATAGCAAACCGTTTAATAAGTCTTTGTATTCGAGAAATACTGTACTCTACTGGTATATTTAGTAAGCTTTTGACAAACCACTCGAACTCGACATTACACTTTTCTTGAATTCCAAATTGAACATTACTTAAATCTAATGAACCTGTCAATATGTGACTAAAAGATCGAGTCAACAAAAAAATAAAGCCAAATTTTTTCATAAGTTCATTTCTAACACGATTTTATCACAAACACAGTCCAATAAATGTTCAAATAATCATTTAATCTATTGATATTCGTATATTATGTCTTCACACACAGAAGCACAACATCTTCTAAAATTTTTGCTTTTAATATTTAACATTTCGGCTAGTTAAAAATTGTTTTATTGTCATTGATCACCACTGTACTAAGTAAAGAGCAGAACTTATTAAATTATTTAAATTCATTATTATTAAATATTAATCAATAACAAATAGTTATCCACTACTAAAAACCTTTTTCACAATGACGTAAAAAGCTTCATATAGGCTTCTTTGTATACTCATGTTAGTCAAAATAATTATATTTATCCAGTTTATTTTACTATTTTTACTAACAAAAAAGCTAGTAGATGAACCGAATTTGTTATATATTGTTTTTTTATCCATCCAAGGAACTAATATACTATATATTACTTTTACCAGCAATTCTTCTTTGAGATCTACGCAATGGTTCACTTTCTTTATACTACAAACGGCTCAATTGTTTTACTTCTTAGGAGCTCCTAGATATGCTGATTACGTTGGAAATGAAAAATTGTTTGATTTAGATCTATTACCAATTGTATTCAGCGTGACTAATATTATTTATATTTGGTTTGTGTTAGATTCATTTCACGAGTACGATTCGAATTTGATAAATTCAAAGTTTTCTTCTGTATTAATTCTAATTGTCAACTACTGTTTAGATTACAACGAAATTATTTTTGATTACTTATCATGCCCGTTCATAGATAACTATGTAATTCAATACAGGTACTTGGTTATAATTACTTTTTTTTTATATGCATTAACCATCAGCTCAAACGTCAAAAAACAAGTTCAAGATAACATTAGATCTCGAGATTTGTTTATCACGGCTAAGTTTTCATGTGTCATTTCGCTATTCTTTTTTAACACGCCACTTATGATACTGCGCTTTGTCTATAAAGTCAAGTCAAAACTAATTTATAAGAATCTTTTTATGATCTTTTTAAATTTAATTCAACTGAATGCTGTAACCTTATTTGAAAAATACATTGGAAATCGACACATTCAAAACCCGTTTTATGATTTTGATCTCATCAAAAAGAACAAATATCTCAGCGCTCCAAAAAAAAAATACTGTAAAGGATGTTTTTTACCGCAAACAATGAACAACAACGAAGATTTTTCAGAACTGGAAGAGTCAAATGCAAATACTGATGAAGAAACTATGAGTTACAAATTTAAAGATCATCACTCTTTAAATTTTAATAATTCTAGTGCACATAAAATCAACGATATAGACATTGCTTTGTTAGAAGAAGAAAATTCAGAATCTTTTGACAAAGAGAACGAATCATCGTCGTTCGACAGAAGCACTGATGATACGAGATGCTATCAATGCTTTGTTGAAAACGTAGAAAATTTCGACTGCCAACATAAGTTTCAAAAGGTAGTCAAAACCAGCCTGATATTTAATAGTTTAAAAGTAGCTATAAAAAACAGTTACAACTTCCACTACGTAGGGTTACATTTAACCGAAGCTTGTACCGTAGACAGCAATGTAGCGTTGATGTCAATCGGAATTTTAAATCAACTTATTAAAATTATTTTAATATTGTTGCTTCTATTCGACACATCAACGTCTGCTCAATACGTTATCTTAGTATTTTATTGTGTAAGTCACCTAGTTCTTTTGTGTATTATGTCAAATGCCTTCGAAATACTTCTTAGTGCAGTGCATAACATTGTAGATATTATCAGTTATTTACTTACTTTAATTTATCTGAAGTATTGCCTGTATAAAATTCAAAACTCAATAAACATTGAACTTTCAAGCTTGCTAATTATTCGGCTCAGCATTTATTTGTTAAACCTTCAAAAAATAATTCTAAAATATATTACCGAGTTTTTTGAAAAGCACGGAATAGTTTCTAAATCTCTAGCTTCTTATGAGCAGCGAATTTCCACCGCCTGCGCGAGCAATATAATTATAAAATCTTCTCAGATCAGTTACTTTCTCGTTATTATGTATGTTTTCTTGCTATATTACTCTTGGAATATTGTAACATATTGGCAATTATATCTTAGCAAAAGCAACGCGTTTTCGTCTGAAAGCCATATATATTATGCAGATCTCGTTCACAAAGAAAAAAAAACGCAACCATCTACAACCCTTGATCAAGAAATTATTTCCACGGACGCCTACAATAAAATAATTTTCAAACTATCCGCTAACAACGTATTACCAATTAACTACGTCTCTAGAATCATAAATAAACACTCGTTGATTTCGACGATAAAACTGTACCAGGCAGTACTCATCTACTTGAAATTAAAGAAATTCAAAAAACTGTATATGCGCTTATTCGTAGGGGTTTTATACTATATTTATTACAAAGAGTACTATTTAATTGTAATTTCAATTTTGTGCAGCTTAATTGAATCTTTCTACATATTTGCACTGCGAGCTACATATAAATTTCACATAAAGAAACAGTTCAAGCTTGAAGCGAAACATGAAATTATGTTTGAATACTGAATTAAAAAAGATATTGTTTAATTGTAGTTATTCCATTCGACGAATCTGTTATGAAAATTTTATCGGCGTGCTCATAAAAAGCTTTGCGATGTGAAACTGTTATAAATTGACTATCTGAAAAATATAGTTTCAAGAAAGATCCAAGCTTAGTTGCGTGACCAACGTCCAAAGCGGAATCAACTTCGTCAAACAAGTAAAATGGTGACGGATTCAATTTCAACAAAGCTAACAAAAACGTCAACGATATCATGGTTTTTTGCCCTCCGGAAAAACTAGATAAACTTTCGATTTTTTCGTTGTTCATTATAATGTGGAGTTCAAACCCTTTTGAAAGATCAGTGTTACTGACCGCGTTTAAAACGATATCAGAGTCAGGCACAAGCTCAGTATAGATTTGACTCAGAAGAAATGCAAATTTTCTGAACCCTTTTGTGATTATTGCTTGTTTGTTTTTTGAAATTCGGTCGATCAAATCGAGTAGAGAGTCTCGCTCGATTTCCACTTTTTTTTTTTCTTCTATGATGTTTGCAAATTGAGTTTCCAAATTCACATAAGACTCGATGGAGTGCTGGTTTATTGACATTTGCAATTCTTCTTTTCGTTCTTTGTCTTTTTCCAGATCTCGAACTATATCATCGAAATTCAAGTTCTGCCATTGCTGGAAAATATCGGAAATTAAGTCAAGTTTGTATTGTTTGAGCTTATTTAACTGATCTCTTTTGGTCAATAAGTTCGACTTTTCTTTTTCAAACTTTTGGCTTGTAGCTTTAAGGCAAGATATTTTAGTGTGAATTTTTTCTTGTAAAGCTACTTTTTCCAGTTGTTTTTCATTTGCGACCTTTAGCGATTTTTTAAACTCTTCAATAGCAGATTCTAATTCTTCAAGTTTTTTTTTAATACTTGACAACTGGTCTAAATTTTTTTGAAAATTCAAATCTATTTCTTCCTTGTGCTTTAGCAGTGAGCTTAACTCTGTTTCCTTATCTTCAATAAGTTTTTGTAACATAGTAATTTCTTGGTTCAACTCTTGTTTTTTATCTTTCGAAACGTGCAATTCTTTCTCTATTTCCGCACTTTTCATTGATTTTAGATCGGATATCTGTTTTTCTAAATCCTTTTTCTTAGTTACCAGCTTATTTTTTTCGATCTTCAGTGTTTCTACATATTTTTTATTATCGACAGCAAAATTCTCGTACATTTTAAAGTGTTTTTTTATTTCACCATCAATAGAGTCGACTTCTGATGCCAGATCGGCTCTTTCTCTATTGAGCTTTTCGATTTCATCTTGTCCTTCTTTTAATTCTCTTTGTAACTCCGAAGACGAAGTTTGACTATTCAAAGGAGTAATCAACTCCAATTTCTGTTTCTTCACTATTAATTCTGAAGAAATCCTGTCGTATTGATGCTCTATGTCGATAAAATTAAGCAATTTTTTTTTAGTTTCTTCAAAAGAATTTACTTTCTCAGGTATACTGTTTGTCAGTCCCATGTATTTGTTCCAAGAATTAATCATTTCGTTCATACCCACCAAGTTACCTCCTGAGATTTTTCCATTTGGATCATATGACGTTCCGTCTGTCACAATAATCGTATTGTTCAACGTTTTATCAAGCATTAATTTTTTTGCAATGGCTTTGTTCCGTGTAAAACAAGTATTTCCGAACGCGTAAAATATCACATTTTCAAACACGGTGTCGTATGTCAACAAATCTAAACAACAATAAACGTCAGGATGACGTGAAATTTCTTTTTTCACGTTCTTGAAATGAGGAGGAAAGAACACGTTATTTAACGGTACGCATGTTACTCGCAATGTGTTTTGTTTTGCAAATTGAAAAATACTAGAAGTGACTCCATCGTCTTTTATAACGATGTGCAAGAGTTTTGACTTCGCGCACTCTTCTAAAGCTAATGTGAAGTCTTGAAATTCCGGCTTGATTTTGAAGCAATTCATTACTGTACCTATAACCTTAAAGTTGTTCGTAAAATACTTCAAAATAGTGTGTTCAGAGTTAAAACGATAAGTCAACCTCGAAAATAAGTTGTTGTTCTCATTTAGTGTGAGCTCTAATTCTGATAATGTTCGTTTAGTATTTTCGTATTCGCCTTTTTCAAACCTTAAGTCCGATAATCTGTTTTCTAAACTTTTTATCTCAGACGTTAGTGCGTCAATGTCTAGTTGATCGCTTTTGTGATCGACAGTACTTTTTTTTTTACGCTTCTCTAATAATTTATTCTGCTTATATTCAATATTAGCAACTAACGTAGACAACTTAATTTGTTTTTCTTGGAATTTTTTTTGTAACGTAGCTATTTTTTCTTTTAATGGAACGCCATCATCTGCCACAGGCTCTCCTAAACGAGCAGAGTTCAATTGCTTGCCAATTGAGCTAATTTCATTTTCAATCTTAGCTTTTTCTTTTTGATAAGCAGATTTAGAAGACAGGAAATCCGAGTGTTTCAACTCAATTTGATCAATTAAGTTGGAGACGTCAAGAAGTTCCTCGTTAGACTTTTGTAATTGCAATTTAGACGTGTTAAGCTCCGTAGACGTCATATTGACGTTCATGTGAGACTTTACTTGTTCGGTCTTCAGCACTTCAATCGCTTTTTCTAACTCGTCAATGGAGACCGAATTTGAAAATTTAGTTTTTTCCGCTTGCAATTCTGCCAGTTTAGTTGAGCAGAATTGCTTGTTTTCATTCAGTTCGTTCAAAGCACGTTTTTCTTGTTCGAGCATTTCGTAGTAAGATTGTAGCTCAACACCTTGTTCGTGCAACTGTTTTTTAACTTCAGTTATTCGAGCCTCTACGATACAGTATTCTTTGTGCTCAATAACAGACTCTATAGTAAGCCAGTCCATATAATTTTTTTTTTGAATAGCTAGTTTTTCTAACGCAGGCTTAAAACTTTCGTTGATGTCTTGCTCAATGACAGACAACGTTTTTTGTTTTTCGATCAGCGTTTTCTCGCAAGCCTGTTTTTCTTTGTCGAAGCCGCTCGTTCCTAAAGTATCGCATAACATGCTGTACAGTTCCACAGGCTTCATTTGTACAACTCGAAACACTTTTCCTTGAAGAACCATGAAATTACCCGTTTGCACGTTGATTCTAGATTCCAAAAACATTTTTTGTAAATCAACATTTTTTACAGTAACCTTGTTGATAGATATGTGCAATTTTCCGTTTATAGACAATTTTCGGCAGACGATGATTTTATCGCACTGAACATATGCACTTGGACTGGTCAACTTGTCTGAGTTATCGAATTCTAAAGTCACTGAAGCGGTTTCTACGTTATGCTGTCCACGTTTATATATCAAATCTACGTTTTCGTCGATTCGCAAGTCTTTACCAGATCTGAATCCCAAGGCAAAGCAAATTGCGTCGAAAAAGTTAGATTTACCACTTCCGTTTGCGCCGATAATGGCGTTCAAATTAGGTGAGAACGGTGAAACAACGACTTTGTCGCGAAAACTTTTAAATCCTTCAATAATAATTTGAGTTAACTTCATTGCAGCACAAATTTAACGTTCAGCAATAGGAGTCAACAGGTTGCATCCTTGATAATTAAAAAACCACAAATAGATACTGTCCTCTATTATGCGGTTTCGAAACACAATGTGCTTCTTTCATAGAAATATAATAAATTTTATATAAAGAGATACGAGGATTAATTCAAGAAATAAACAATTTATAGTTTTAGTCCGCAAATTACGCCACCCCTAATTTATTAAAATTGCTTTATTACTAAGGAATGAATTTTGCAAGCCAGCGAAACCCTTCTATGTAACCCATTCTTTTTGAAACACTGCACATGAAAAGTTCTAAAGGTCGGGTCGTTGATGAAGGCTGATATTTCTTACCATAAGTCAAATTTTCAGTCAGGCCGATGGCTCTGCGCAGTTCATGCTCGGATACTGCAGTATCCTTGTCAATCTTGTTGCCTAACACGCAAATCGGGGTTTTTGCCAGTTCTTCGCTAGCCAACAAAGCAGCCAGCTCTTCGTAAGCTTCCGGAAACCTACTTGGGTCCGCTGCGTCAATTATAAAAATAATACCGTTTACAGTAGCTAAATAATCTTTCCAGATTCGTCGTGCTGTTTCGTGACCACCAAGATCAAACGTTTGAAATTGGATTCCTTCGATTACCAAATCTTCGGAATGGGGATGCAATGTAGGAATGTGCATTGTGAGCCTGTCATCTTTCAACACATTCAACAGTGTTGTTTTTCCTGCATTGTCTAGTCCGAGAAATACTATCTTTCCTTTCTTACTAAGCAGACCTAATTTGCCTAACACAGACCAAAACCACGAAAACATATTATATTAATACTTAACTAGTATATTAGTTATAATTTACTATTGCTCAATTAATATTTTATTTATGAATTTCAATATTACGCTTTTTCATTATAATAAACCTAATCAATTACCACAATTTATAAATAGAGCAATTAAACTGAAAATATTAATTTACCGTTAATAAGATCTAAATAAACAGAACAATCATTAGATTATATAAACATTTCATGCCGCTGTTTAATCTTCTTTAATTAACACGTTTTAGTCCATTCGACACCCACACAGCAATTCGCGCCGTATATACGTAAATAAGTTTTCGGGAATGTCTTGAAAAATTAGGTCGTCGGAAAGTTCGAATAAAAATACTAAATTTCTGACAAAAACCTCGTCATTTAGACCATAAGTCTCTAAGAACAACTTTATGGGTTTGCACAAATCGGTATAAACATCGTAGTTATTGTGCGTGCTAGTTGTAGAAATACAAAGATGCGTCGATTTCTTGTTCACGCGGTTTTTAAACAATTTATTTGTGTGTGAAACGTTAATCACTTCGTCACACTTGGAGTGTTGAATCAATAGTGGTACTTCGCCAAATTCTTCCATATTTTTCTGAGTATTCCACCCAGCTTCACTCAATATGCTGAACGGATTTGGAACATAATCATTGATCAAGTCCTTGATACTTAAAAAAGGAGAATGTAAAATCAAGCCACCTAAAGTGATTTGTTTTTTTTGGAATACCTTCATCATTTCCGTAGCTGGCCCCGTGCCTATACTTCGGCCCATCAAAAATATTTGTTTTGAGTTTTTTACAAAAAGCAACAATAATTTGATAACTGACTCAGCGTATTGATTGATTGATTTGATGTCACATTTTTTCTCTCTCGAAATTCCGTATCCAGGGTATTCAAACGCAACTATGTGACAGTTGCAGTATTGCGTTAGGATTTCAAGTTCCTGCTGTATGTCTCCTAAATCACACCCGTTCGCGTGAAAATAAACTATAATATTTGATGATGTTTTTGGTGCTGCTATGTACAAACAAGGGATTAACTGTTGTTTTTCAGCGTTTCGGTTATTGTAGTAATCTTTAGCTTCTTCTAAATTTTTTATGCTGGCTGAGCCAAAGTGTTTTGGCACGTAAAATAAGCCTTCAAGAGATCTTTCTGAGTAAGTTGCTGGTCTTTTTGGAAATAGTATGTTTTTTAATAATAAGTTCATGCCAATGCAACCAAAATTCTTTAAATCCCAGTTGCATAACCTTGCTATATTATCTGCTTGAATTAATACGGGTGCAACGTTAATTAATAAATTTTTTACAAAAGATTCAAGCTAGACCGACTAAAATTAAATTGGCTATTTTATAATTTTAGAATTTATTTAACCTATACCATCATCGGTACTTGTTGGGATACAAACAAATACGCGATTTTTCTTTTCGCACATTCATAAATTTCCAATAATTTGCACACGTTTTTAGCGCATACTGTATACATCCGGAAACTTCCGCTATTTCAAGCAAAGTTTGAACATTTGCAGTTTTAAGATTTCCAAAGATAATTTCGCATTTACTGCGAATTTTGTTGTCGTCGCGAAAAATCTGACTGATGTGACGCTTTAAGTCACGTCTTCCTTCTTCGCCAAATCTTATATCATATCCTTCAGCCAAAATGTATCCTGAAATAGGGGCATAACAAGAAGTACTAAAATCTTTTTTTCCTCGTTTAGGAATTTGAGTTAATATACCCAAGTCTTTGTAATTTTGAATTTTACTGTCAGAATCTCGATTGTTTTTTTCTTCGTAATCGTATAGTTTCGAGTTTGTTAAACCGTTATTAGTATTAATATAGTCGCAGCTATTTTCTATTGATTTGTTACTGGCGTAAGCTGCGTTTAACGCAACATTATACCAAAAATTGTAATTAAACTTGAGATGTTCTTCGTCAATCGAGAAAGAATGATCTATGTAGGTTGTATTAACAGAACATATATGTGGGCTGTCTTGATAATTTTGCACATTTTCAGGATTATAAATTAAAATTTTTTCAGGGTTGCACTTTTTATCGAGCAGTTGCATGTGTTGCATTGATAAGTCATCCGTCATAAAAGCATAGTGTTGTGACTCAATTTATTGTTTGAAATACTGGAATTAGCGCTCTTCGAACGTGTGTGTTTCTTTGGTATTAATGGGATCAAATTTTAAAAGTTCGATTGACTGGCCATCATCATTCATTTTTTTGTCATTCCTTCAGGGATCTGTGAATTGTATTGGTTATAGTTTTTGTGTTCAACAAGAATTACGTAAGCAAATTCGAGAAATAGAAAACCAAATTTACAAAAAACAAACCGAAATTTCACAGATTCAAACTTTAAAAGCTGTATTAAATAAAGCAGTGGAATATTACGAAGCTAATGCTGAAAATGAAGATAAACAACTATTAGAGAATTTTAACAATGGCGATTTTGACATGAATTCCGACGACTTGGCTGAATGCCTTTTACAAATCGAAGAACAAGACGATAATATTGATAAATTGAATTCTGAAATTGCTGAATTACAAGGTGATATAGAAACTCTCAAGAAGAAAAAATACAAAATTGACTGGGAAGACAAGTCTAAAAATCATATCGTTAATGATAGAGCATTTATTGATTATATGTCAGAATCAGCTTCTGACATTGCTTCGAACGATTTAGATGTAGAATATTCGGACGATAACACAACCGATTCTGGCAAAAAGAATACTCTAGTTTTAAAATGTTTACCCGTTTTGCGAGATTTCAAAAACAGCCAGTTATTGCATACAGTTACTACAATTAAAAAAAGAGCACTGTCACTGAAAGAACACATTACTCCTGAAATGTATAAAACTTCGCTCTTACCAGTCTTAGATGTTACGGAATTGTTTGAAACCAGTGTTTCAAACGAGGAAAAAGCTTACAAAGGCGCTGTAGGACTTGTTTATCCTTTCAGTTTTAATGGTAGTATTTATATGAATCTTTCCAGTAATATCAAGTCAAAAAAGATTAAGTTAAATTGGGCCACGGTATATACAAGTTTCTGTAAAATTGCGCGTACACTAAAAGATCTTGCAAAAAAAAGCATTCATCATTTGCATATCAAACCTAATAATTTGATTGTCTCAGAAAATTCGAAGCAAATTTTACTAACTGATATATTTGATTATAACTACGTAATAGACTTTTATTTGCTTTCTAAACATTACGACGACGTTTTTATTGCTCCAGAGCTCTACCAACATCTCAAAATCGCCGAAAACAAAGCTTCAATCAAATCATTAGATTTGTTTAAATGTGATTTATTTTCTCTTGGAATGTGTTTATATTATATAATAAGTCGAGATGACCCAGATATCAGAATGCATAAGAACGCAGACACGCTTCAACGTAATATACGAAATTTGTCAAGCATTAACAAAGAAATTGATACTCTGTTACACGACTTATCATCATGGGATCCCAATGACAGAAAGTTTCCGGACATACCGGTTCAAATTAAGAACAAAAATAAAAATTTTTCATTACAAGATAAGATAAGCAACTTCTTTCAAAATTTAGGTTTATGAATGTGAACTACTTATAAAATTATTTAAGAGATTTTAATTAAATAATATCGTCAGTATTGAATCAATCATATTTAAACTGTTCGAATACTCTAAAAATAGTTAATTTTTTTATATTAAATAATTGTTTTTATTAGAATAACTTAATAAAAAATGAATGATTTTCAACCAATACACTAAATTTTTTGAATAATGCATGTCTCAATTAACTGAATCCATATTTTCTTGCGATAATGACGAAATAGCTTGTCAAATCTTGTTAAGTTCAGACTTCTTTATCATAAACCACATAAAAACTAGAAGTATTCTTGATGTGTATTCAATAAAACCTGAAAAAATTCAAACTTTAAATTTGTCTAATTATGGGAAACTGTATGTGTTGTGGTCATTATTTCAATACAATATAAAACTAGTTGATCTTTTAACGTTTTTTTCGAGCTTCTCTTCTTTTTTTGTGTGTCTCTCCCTTCCTATAGAGGAGTTCAGTCTAAAAATAGAAGATCAGCTGATTAAAAACACAATTACTTGTTGTATTAATTCATTTACAGAACTATTTAAAAAGCAAAATCTATGGATTGACAAATTTGTTTTAATTTTAGTCGACATTCTATGTTGTTTTCAATATGATTTACTCAAACACATGTTAATGCATTTGATAAACGCAGCACTAATTTTAAACAGTGATAAAGTATTTTCACAACTTCATAAATTAATATGCAAGTTAATCGACACAATTTACCAAAAATCGAGCGACAAGCAAATGGCTAAATTATTATTATTGGATTTATATTCAATGGGCTTGATTTCGTCCTACAACGATAAATTTCTTTTAATATTAAAAGACTTGCCTAATAACCTTATAAGTGATTTAATGGACATATTTCAACGTGATGTTTGGCAGAGACTACTTGACTCAATACAATCAGAAACTGTTGAAGAAATTACAGCAGCGTTAAATTTTTCCTTTCAGATCTTTCCAACCTTACAACAATCAATTAACTTACAAAATCACACTAATTCAGATACGAATTTAATTAATGTTTTTATCGATTTGTTGAAACATGATAATCCTTCTTTACGAGAGGTGGCCATTTCTCATTGTTTGAGTTTGCTTTATTTATATCCAGATCTGATACCAAAAAAAAAACATGAAGAGATCAAACTGCAAATCATTAATAATAACTTACTCGACGTAAACTCGCAAAACTCAAGATCGACTTTTATCAGCACAATAGCTAACTTAATTTCAAAATCAGTCTCGAAACCATTTTTAAGCGAGTTTCTTCCATTCTGTTATGAATGCAAATTTGACAAAAACACCAAAGTTCGAACTGAATTAGCTAATTTGCTTGTTGCTGTGGTTACCTATGAACCTGAATTACTAATAGACACAAGTGATTTAATTGAAGTTTACTTGCTAGATTGCTGTATTTATTTTACAACGAATAGTGAGGATGCATTATTAATTTGCAAACAACTAAGTAAAATTTTATATTTACAAATATTTAAAATACACTCGTCAATCGAGGAGCATTTAGAAGTTATACTGCAGTTCCGTCATAAAGATTCAATTCTACTACCCTGCTTATTTTATTTCCATGAAATAAAACACGCAGACTTAATTTTAGCTACGGCAATCGTTTCTGAAGCGTTTCAGTTGATTGACAATTGTTATTTAATGCGACAAAAAATGAAGAACAAAGATTTAGTTACTTGTTTGTACTGTTTCAACGTGTGCAACGTGGTTTGCTACAAATATTTTGCTTTTAGATCCGACATTCCAAACACAAGATCTATTATTCACGATTCGATTTCGGAAAAATCCGTTGAGCATGGTTTAAATAATTTAGATTTATTTTCCAAAGCATTGACTTACGCTGTAATGAGGTTTATAATTTTTAGCAAGAGACCATGTACTCAAGAAATTGTTTTAATGCTCGTTAAACAGCTCGATACAACAAGCGATTTTATCGAACCAATTTGGATAGAACTTGTTAATTATTTATATCAATTCTGCGCAGACGACGAATTTGTTATTTCACATTTAAAGGACTTTTTCATTCGAAACTTTGTCTGTTCAGTTGATCAGATATATGATTTCGTCATGTTATTGCGGAATTCCTATAGAAATGAACATAGCGAAAATAACATCATTCTTAAAATTACAAAACAAGTAGATTTAAATTTTATCACATATTTTCAGCAGCTAGTCAAGCTTGTTTATGAATGGGATTTCCTCCAGTACGAACTTAAAAAATTAGTCCAATGCATGTTAATATTGAGCAACGAATTCAATGAAATTTACATTGTTTCTGGAGAAGTGATTAAGACGTATAAAAATTTGAATTTGGAAGGTTTCTATGTAACTGTTTCGAACGATGTGATCAATTTCATAGACGCTTTACTTACAACCGTTGTTACACTTATTTATGGTCTTTCAGAAAAGATAAAATTGAGCTTAAAGAACGTGTCTGGAAGTGAAAAAACGAAAAATCACAATTCTGAAGAATCGTCTTCGACGAGTGATGAATTACTTTTGACGAGCGCACAATCATTTTTTTTCGAATTTCACTTAATTGTTTTTAGTTCTTGCTGCCAGTTTATGAAAAACTCGATACTATCACCTGAGCTGAACAATACTCTAATTAAATTAGTTCCGATTATTTCGAAATTCGTTACAAACGCAGAAACAAGCGATATTGCCTGTAACGTGCTGATTTATTTTTTGAAAAATCAAATTTCAGTCTGGGGCAAGTCAAAATTTCAGCCCGACAACCAGATTAGTCACCAACTTTTGGTTTTTAACGCGTATAAAATCTTAGAACAAATTCTAATTTTGTTGAACTTTTTACTTACAAAAAATTTAGTGACGAATCGAAAAACGTTCACATTGATAATTCTCGCAGGTCATGTAGCTGATTTGTTCGAATGTTTTCCTTATCATATATATTATGAAGACGAAAAATTAGTGATTTCGATAAATGAGTCTCACACTCCTGAAACTCATTTATCGAAACAGATTTATCGGCGCGTTGAAGTCGAAAAATATTTAAATTCAAAGAAATTGCCGCTTCAAGATTTTTGGAGCGTATTTTCTAAATTCATACAAACATTGTTAGCTAATTTTGATTTAACAACATTAAAGAATTGTTTAGTTGAAAATGAAGTTTTAAACGTAATTAATTTTATAGAGGATGTGATGGAAAAAAAGGAGAACACAAGTGAAGCTAAAAAATTGACTTTATCAGAAGTGTTTTGTTTAAATGTTTACTTAGAAAAGTGGAAAACAGATCTCAGTAACGTTTGAAAATAATTTAAATTTGTTATACTTGAAACGCTTCTTCATCTTCTGGTGATTCAACGTGATCATTATCAGAAACGACAGCCTCTTCTTCGGTCGAGTCTTCCGCTTTAGTGGCAGTGGATTTGTTTAACTCTTGTTCTTTTTCGAACATTATACGTTCATTCGCTATAACTTCCGGGTTGGTTTCACAAAGTTGAAGACGATGTCTGAAATCTTGAACGACTTCGTGTTCACACTTGGTTGTGCACCTACTATCTTTTAATTCTTTGAGGCACTGACAATCGAAATAGCAAATAGATTTAAGTTCCGAAAAGCTCTCGAAATCGCAGCCTTTGGAGCAAAGCTCCCAATATTTGTTAAGTCGTTCGTGTGGCGGAAGCATTTCATCGAAATAGCGGTCGACGACAATTTCATCAGTACCAAAAGAAACTTTATTAAGTCCCCAGTCAAACGCTTGAGATAGTAGTTGATAAGTAGTATCAGGGAACTCCATAAAACTTACTTGTTTGTTTAATTGATAAGTCGTAGAAGTCAGTAGTAGAATCGCTATGACTCTAGTTAGAATAGATCCGGAACGAGGCTTTTCGAACGATAAGGAGTAAAGGGGAATAAACGAATCGATAACTCCAAGATCGTCATCATATAGATTGGGGAACAACCAAAAGTTGATGCAGAAAAACCAAAGCCCAGTAAACAAGACGAGCCGCAAAACCGAGATTAAAATGTACGTGAGCGAGAGATAATAGACAAATGACCACGCGTAGTACTTCAATTTAAAAGGCCACACCGGAAAGAGACAGCAAATTAATATCAAAAATAAAACTATTGCAGCGTAAAACAAGTAACGTCGGTTTCTTTTTGCATCCTGGTCGTTGAGGACTAAAAAGAAAGGCCCGTTGACAGGAATAATGCGTTCGAGTTTGAGACGCTTAGGATATTCGATAGTGTCTCTGTCTTCTATTTTCAGCATGGATTGATCAATTTCATCGGCTAGCGGTGCGTGAGATGCGATTGAACAAATATTGTGTTCTACGGCATACCTTATAAAGGCAGAAAACCATTTTTCTGTTGAATCAGTGTCTGCCAAGTGTTCGTTTCCATATTTCTTAGTTAAATTTTCTTTTTGCTTTTCGATCACAATCTTAATATCTTTATCGCGAATATACGAACAGAATCGTTTTCCAACGATGATGGCTTCGTAGCTTTTTACAGATTGTAGGATTTCGTCAACTATAATATATACGCAGCATTACTTACCAATGTCTTCAATATGAGGCATAGTTCGATTTCCTTGATGTAGTAATTATTATATAAATCGATATTATCTAAAATTGTCAAAAATTAATAATGTCAATATTAACTTTTTTAACAAAATAAAGAAATTCAGTGTTATTTATGGATAAATAATTCATAATCTGAATAGATAATATAAGTAGTGATGAATTTAGCAGATAAAATCAAACAGGATCTCAAAAAAATAAATAGTCTTACGAACCAACAAGTAACGCAAGAAGAGAAAAAAATAAAAGAAAGTGAGAATCAGAAAAAGGTATTTAGCGACGTATCTAGCAGTGACGAAATGTCGAGCACACAGGGGTATATTGACGATAAAAGTTTTGTGCAAAAAAACAAAGCGTTTTTAACAAGCACAAATTTTGAAAGTATTTTAGAGACTGCAGAAAATAATATGAATAATTTCGAAAATGAAAACGATTCCGATAGTGAGGAAAATTCGTCTCCATCCGATATGGAAGCGATAAAGACTAAAATGGAGTTAGACGAGTTTGTCAACCGAGAATATGGATTATACGACTGAAAAAACGTCAACCAATGCATATTAAGTTAACACAAATTTCGATCATTCAACCAGATGTCAAATCGACCTGGGCGCGTTAGGGAATAGTGAAGTTTGCTTACAGGGTTGTTCGTAGTTGCGATGACCAGACTATTCTTGCTGGAGATTTGACTAATGCCATCTAGTTCGATTTGCATAGTCGTGAGCAAACTTTGAGCAAATTGGCACGTTAAGTTTTTATCCCCTATAAGTTCTATGTTTTGAATCCACAGGATATTGTATGTACTGTTCTTGCGCAAATTAAAAAATTCTGTTACGGCTTTTTCGCCTTCCCCAAGATATTTCTGAAAAAAATGCGAACATTCAACAAAGTACAGTGTCGGAGGTAGTGGAAACTCTTGGAAGTATTTTGAAAAATCGCGAGTGGGTTTTAGTTGTTCTGCACTAGTTTCAACGAGGATGTTTTTTGGAACATATTTTTCCGTGCTGCTACTTAACTCTTTTTTGATGATATCATATAAACGTATTAATTTTTTCAAAATGGGTGTGCCTGTTAAATTGTTCAAACCGTAGTTTCGACAGTAAAGTTTTCTGAATAATTCTTGAAATTCTGGCAGAGTGTTGCAAAGTATGGCCAACTGTATTAGCTTGTTTTGAAAATTATTATTTAAAAGTGTAGGGAAAGAAAGAGTAAAGACAAAAGCAAGCTCACTTTCGAATTTTAATAATGGAAGAATAAGTTTGTTTAAGGAGTTGACACATATCGATTCAGAAATTAAGTCGGACTCAAACAGAGATAGTAGTTTCAGAAAAAAAAAGTATGCCGAGCCGAATTTTTTCAGCTTTGAAAGCAAGGTGGTTTGGTCGCTAAAGCAAACCGTGTTTTTTAAGCTGTTTTGTTTCAAGGCAGATGTGTCATAATAGTTGGTGTTGAACAAGTGAATTTTGTAAATAGTCTGCTTTTCTAATTCAGAGATTGCATTTATTTCAACACATAATTTTTCTAATTCTTCTAATGTGTGTGCGTAAAGCAGGTTATTCTTTTTTATGTCTGTTTCGAAGTCGAATAAAAATTCAATGACTTCAGAATAAAGATTGTGACCAATAATCAGAACTTCATATTCCAAAACGGCGGGAATCAATTTAATTTTCGGATAAGTAAAACATCTTGAGATCAAATTTTTAAGCATTAGTGATTTACATGACTTATGTACTCATTAGATAAAATTTTTGTTTATTTCTCAATTAAAAGTTTGAAAAACTTTTATTATTTTGAGAATGATAAAAAAATTTAGTTTTCAATATTATAAATAAAGGAAATAGAGCTATTTATTGTACAAATAATTTATGAAATCATTTTCATTCATGAGAGTAGCATCTTGGTTGTCATGTATGGGTTCTTCTGAGTCGTTTAACATTGTTTGAATTGTAGAAACAGCGTGATCGGAATAGTTGGGGTGTATAGTTATTATTTTAGTTTGTGAATTGATGTGTAATATGTTCATTGAACAAAGTTTTTTAATTATTTTTTTAATTTTGTATTCAACAAATTGTTCGTGACATGTTTTGTGCTTTACAAACCAACCAACTAAGTCGTAATAGCTAATTCCAGAAATTTCATTAGAATGCAAAAATTGTTCTGTTTCGACTAGTTTCAAATGTGAAACTAAAATATTTTGAATCTTGACAAATTCGTCAGCGTTAAGTGAAAAGGAATAGTTAATTTCACGGTTATCATTATTTTGAAAATCATTGTTTTCGTTGTTTTCAAATTCATCTTCAGATACAGTTTCTTCGATTATTATGCTGTCTTGTTGTATTCGATAAAGTGAATGTTTTAATAAATTAATGGCGGAATAAACATGGTTTTCTAATACCTCGTCAGACAATGACAATTTGGCAATGGCTTCTGAAAGTCGAATTGTGCTTTCTAATTGCCGCGTAGTGATTCTGCCAGAACCATTTGTATTCTTGTGTTTGGTTTGCTGACGAACTGAAACGTAATTATTGGCCAAAAGATTTTTGACTTGAGGTGTAAGTCTAGGTCTCATTAACTTAGCAATTTTGATATAAAGCTTGAACATTTCGTTATTTTGAATCACGCTATCGTAAAACAGTATGTTTTCATTTCTGGATTGTTTTATTAAATGCCGAGCAATGGCAATATCCTCATCTTGGTCAGTGTTATCTAATATTACAAATATTAAATCAAACCGACTTAAAATTGTAGAACCGAGGTATAAATTTTCTCTTAAGCTTCGCTTGATATCGTATCGGCCATGTGCAGGACTGCAAGCAGCCAAAACGCTAGCTCTGGCGTTCATCGTGGCTCTTATTCCAGCTTTGGCAATACTTATAGTTTGCTGTTCCATTGCTTCATGAATTGCTATTCTGTCTTTGTTGTCCATTTTGTCAAATTCATCTATGCAACAAATACCTGTGTCAGCTAAAATTAAAGCGCCGACTTCGACGACGCTTTCTCCTGACTCAGGATCACGATGAACACTTGCAGTTAAACCCGCTGCAGTGCTGCTTTTTCCACTCGCATAAACAGACAAATCAGCAAACGAATATGTCCATTTTAAAAGTTGTGATTTCGCTGTTCCCGGGTCGCCAACCAAACAAATGTTTATATCTCCTCGCAAATGTATCCCATGAGTATGTTTTTCTACTCCACTTACAAATAAACAAAGAAGAGCTTCTTTGATAATAGTATTTCCATATACTTGCGGAGCAACGTAGGAAGCTAGCCTAGATAAAACGTTGTATCCATTTCCTAATTGTTTAAATGTTTTATGAATTTCGTAGGTAATTCCGTAAGATGTTACTAGAGGGTTTTCTAAATAAAGCCAGAATGTTTTAACGCTTTGCAAATCTTGACTCAAAGTATTTGTATCTGCGTGAAGCAACTCTCTTGTTTCTGCGGGCGGTGTATTCATTGAAAACAACTGACGAATTAATTCATTCTGCGTAGCTGAAGAATTATTAACACTTCTTGAAGGATTATTAGTAGCTACTTTGACATGTAGCCCCATAAACAAAAGCTTATATGATAACTCACGCACTCCAAGTTTGGTAACGCCATGTACTCCTGACTCAGCTACATTAGATTCCTTAGTAAGTTCTTTGTTTTTTTGTCGTGTGATTGTACTTTGTAGTAAATCAGATCTCATTAACCCTGTTACGTCTGGAACACTAGCTAAATATCCTGTGATTATCGCTGTTTCCCCTGAACGTACTTTTTGGACCGCACTATTTCGAATTATCACATCAATAGTTCTAGGAACTCGACCAGAGGCTGATACTGCGTTTGTATTTTCCTGAACAACTAGTCGTTGCCAACTTCCAAACAAGCAAGATTCTGGAATTCTTTTCCAACGAGTTCGGTTGTTACAACTGTCATTCCAACATCGTACAGGTTCTGTGAAACAGTATTCTTGCTTTATATTTTTTCGTACTGTACCACAAATTTCACACAAATAGTTTGCTTGTATAAGTTCTGGTTTTACACTGGTGCATTTAGTCACGATAGCTTGCATGGAAAATAACTTTCCAACATCTTCAGCGCGACATTCTGCAGGATAACTTAGTTTCAAAGAATTGATGGGAGATATTTCTAGTTCAATGTTATCGGATGCGATCAGTGTCAGAATTCGCATAATATCTTTTTCTATTGAAGTGTTTCGTTCAAGTAAATCGGATATATAGTTCTTAAATGAAATTTTCAATTCGTCAAGTAAGGTTTTGAAAAACATACATAAAAAATGTGAAGTACTGTTGAAAGAAGTCGCTACTGGCATATCAGGTGTAGTAATGTTATTTTCATGCAATTTATACCATCTTTCTAACCGTAAATTCTCAATAAAATTATCTAAATCTTGAATGTCCAACTGTATAACCCCTTGACTTATATATTCATCGTTTAATAGCTGTTTTTCTAACCAGGAAGCTGAATTGTTTTCTGAGACATTCGAATTAAAATGTGTGTAGTTCAGGTATTGATCGAAGTCTCTTTTAAAGTCACTATGCCAAATTTGATTTAAGGTTGAATAGTTTCTTCGTAGCAATTCTTCAACCCATTTAGACGACAAAGCTGAAAATAGTTAAGTTAATAAAGAGTACTTACAAATATTCTGGTTCATTTATAAATAATCATAATAGCGTAAATCTATCAATTTTGTGTATTTTATCAAAGAATGAATCTACAAAAGAAAATATTTAGCTGATTTTTTTTCTTTTTTTTTCAGTGAACAAAGAAACAAAACTCACTATCCTAGCTAAATAAAGTATTTTAAACGATTGATTTTATTAATCGCGGAAAATTTATAAAGAGTTTTAATTAGTTGCTCACTAATTCAATAACATGCGTGTATGACAACGGTATGCTATTGTTTACAATACAGTTTTTATTAGAAAAAACAACTATTTACTCTTACCTTTTCTATTATAATGATTACATGTTACTTACAAGTTCATTTGACATGTATTGCTCTTTTTTATATTTTTTGAGTTTAATTTTATATCTACATAGCGAATAATTTTCGGACTGAACAAGTGGGAAGTAAAGTTTATTATGTATAAAATTGACGTGAAAAGAAATAAATAAAATGCTAAGGCTAAGTTTGGATGCGATATCTGAACCTTTTTATCAATTATTTTTGTTTCTTTAGACATTTTTAAGGTTAAGAAGAACGTAGAAATAGCAACAGCCATAGAAAATGTTGAAAATATCGTGGTTACGCCTTCTAGTATACTTACAAAAAAATAATGATTTAAATTTCCTTGAGTCAATTGTATGTTGAAGGCTTGTAAAATTTTGTTTATGGGTACCCACCACAATTTCTCTATGGTGACTCTATAGGACGGTGTAATTTTTTCAAGATGAATTTTTGTTGATTTCTGCGCTTTTTTAAAGGTTTTTACTACTTTATAAGGTTCAGCGGATTTTTCAGTGTTTTGTGTTGGATAGGAAGTGAATCTTGGAGTGGTGTTTTCACTTTTTGTTTCATCAGGAAAAGCACAGTCTAAAATTGCATTAGAAGAACAAATTCGCAAAGATTTATTTAGTTCTTGTGGTAATCTAATCTGATATTTAGAAACCATATAAAGTTTAAAAAAATCGTTGTCATAAGTATAGTATTTGATTTCTTTTTCTGGCGAAAAACTTCCGAAGTAAGGAATGCCACAAGCATATGAATAAGCGAGTTTTGCTTCGTCTAAGCGTGTTTTATTAAATACGTGCAGGAGAATAACCGACCATTCTATCAACGTAAGTATTATTGTTACTACTATTAATACTTGTATATAATAACCCGTTTGACTGAGCTTTACAATAGATTGACATGTCAAGTCTTTAAATAACGGCTCGTACAGTAGAGTGAATAGAGCTTTTTTATATTCTCGATTTGTTCTGGTTTGATGTAAATCAAGAGTCATGTCGTTTCCTAAAGTTTTCATTGCGATATTAGTTGCAAATTCGATATTACATGGCGATAAATTAGCAATCTGCGGCTCGCCAATGATATCGTTATAAAAAATTTTTTTTTCGTACACAACCGATAAATTGTTGTCATCGATAGTATTTGTTTTTTCTGTAAATGATCTAAGACCAAAAGTAAAATAATTGTCCATGTTTTGGTACGAATAACTTATGTATTGCCAGTGGTTGCTAATCAAACAAAGTATCAACAAACCTATCAATAGCGGTAAAAAGACGAATCCCCGAATACAATTAATGAACGAGAGAGTATTTCCACTGAACAAAAACCTTAGCCAATATACCGATGGCTCTTGAAGTTTTTGTAACTTTATATCATCGATAACAGCTTTTTTTGGATAATTTATAATGTTTTGGCTGTTTTCATCAAATGGCTTTAAAAATTTCAAATTCATTGATTTATCGATTAATGAACCTACGTTATTCAATGTTTTGTCAGCAGCTGGATATGCTGTAGTAAAATTGTCTTCAAAAGGATTCATATTTCGCGCGTTGATTGATTCATCTGAGCTTTCTGGCTCCATTATTGACTTGAGATGATCTTTTTTATTTTCATCAAAATAAGTTTTATTTTCATTCTCTTCTTGTTCTTGCGAGTGATCCGTGACCATTACGGGGCTTCTTGCATAAAAATGCGTCGTTAAATCTTTGTTATTAATTAACATAGTATCATACAATTAGAAACGAACGTTAGTTTTTTGGTTTTAAATGATTAGAAATCAGCTATATCACGGTTTTAAAGTTATGCCGAAGTTGATCAGAATGTATATAGTTTAAAAAATAAATAATTAAAATTAATTTAATCAGATTATAAGTCTTAAGGGTTGTTACATTATCCATGAAATCGCAGAATCTGATATAAAAAAGATCGGAAAAATTTTAAATCTTATTTATCGTGTAATTATTTGAAATTTATTTTATTTAATTGGTTGTAATATTTGAATATATAATTATCAGGACATCTATTAATTGTTGTTGTTACTTCTAGTTGATTGATTCTGTGCTCATAAGTTACATACTTATAACGGCATATCGAATTATTTACATTATTATATGATTAAAATACGTAATGAAGTACTTTGTTTACAAAAATAAGATTGCTATTGAATTATTGAAAGAAGTATTGAGTTATTATTTCTCTAGTGATTTGTGTGTTTAAATTAGATCAATAGTGTAAAAGCTGCTTTACATGAATACAAGCACGAGCCATGATAAAAATAGTAGTTCTCAAGCTGATTTAGAAAAATTGTATAAGGAATGTAGTATATCTGCAAACACTCAAATAACGTTAATAAAAATATTAAAGAAAAATTTACTTTCGAGTAATCAAAAGCATAAAATATCTGTAGACGATTATTTTGATTATTATGAAAACGCTAAATTGTCAATTCCGTTGTTTCAACATCCGTTAGTTGCGTTGATGATAGCAGCGCCAGAAGAACGATTTATTCATCCCAAACTTGTTGATAGTTATTACGTTGTTTTTCGTAGTGATTTGCTGAAATATATATCGGAGTATCCTAATAACAATCCTCCCAAATTCAAACTAGTTGATGATTTACGCATCCCAGGATATGAAAACGGGTATACTAATGATTGGCTCAACAGTCTATTAATGATAATGTATTATGTGTTTCCAGAACTTATTCAAAATTTAAGTACTCATCAATGTGACAAGCCTAATTGCATTATTTGTTTAGCTTTATTTGTATTTGAAAATATTGATACTTCTTTGGGTTACCGTTTTGGACAGCCTGTGAACGCTAGGTTTTTCTGCGATGTATGCACAAATGAAATGCACTTCTTGAAGAATAAATCTGAGGTTAGCTTTCCCGAAACAATAATTCCTCGAGGGTTATTAAGTCAAAAATTATATTCAAAAGCAGGAATTAATGCAAAATCATTGCTTTTTAGCGATTATTTTAGGTCAACAAGCTTGAATTCTAATCCAGGTAGAAACAAAGGGTATAGTTTTTTTCAAAAAATTAACGATACACGCATCATAGACAAACATGAAGCTGAGTACGATAATGCTTTACGAAAAAATCGTAAGCAACAGTTCTTACTAGTTTCGTTAGCTTTGTTCAATTTATTGCGTAGTTTTTATGATATGGTAGTTAATACGAAGTCTGCTAAATTCGACGGACATGAAAAAAATAAAAGTTTACAAAGACCGTCTAAGAACTATATGAAAAGCGACATCATTAGAACTGAATATTGTCTTGCTACTAACACCGAGATTTCCATTAATATAAGCAAGTTAATCATCGAGCTTAACGTTGATGATGTACTTCCACCTTCTTTGCCGTCTTTATCATCAATACTTTCTCGTTGTATTCAGTTTACTTATAGTAGTTTTTTTCAAAAAGTTGACATCAATGAAAACGGAACTGTTCTATTTCAAGACCAGAATTCAAGCAATTCAAATTACTTTAAGATAGACGAGGTAACGCTTTCACAAATAGAGCATTTGATCGAAGAAGAACTAGGTATTAAAAAAACTACGCCTGAAGAAAATGCAAAGTTGAACTTGGTGGCCGATGACCTTATTTTATCTGGGCCGATTTGCGGTTCGACTTATGAAAATAACAATTTCTCTTTCAAGTCTCAATCTTTTAGCACTTCTTCTAACTTATTAGGAATTAATTTCTTTCTTGAAATGATTAACAAATCAATAAATTCGACTAAAAAAGAATACATGAAATGTACTAACTGTGTAAACGAAAAAGGAGGTTCACATCTAATATCAATCAAACACGAGAAACTGTCTGATATTTTATGTTTCACTATGAAAGCAAATCGGTTGGCATTGTGTGAACGTTTTGAAAATATTCATTTGTTGTTAAAAGTCTACGTTTTGTTGAAAGCTCAAGAGAACCCGCCAACGTATTTATTAAACATCGTCAAATGTCGTATTCGCGACTATTCAAAAGCTTTTGTAGTCCCAGACAAAATATCGTTTATCAATAAACCTCAAAGTGAATGGAAAATTGTTGAGGGAAATTTGGCGAACTCCGATCATGTATATTCTCTCGTTGGTGTGTTAGCGTTTGTTAATTCTTCTTGGAACAACGACGTACGTTTAGTTTTGGAAAAGTTGTGGCAAAACAACTATCATGAAAGCAAAAAAGATCTTAAAATTTTATCTTCTATTGAGGCTGA